TCAATAACATTCTTAGACAGCTTGAATTGCTTGGCATTATCACTTACTATGTACTTCGGTGTACCTCTTCGTGAAATGAACCGTCTGAAACACATTAGGAATTGCTCAGTAGACATATTGCGAACTAATTCCATATGAATAGCTCTGGTAGTTAGGCAAGTGAGGATGCATACCCACACTTTAGCTGTTTCAGTTTCCGTTTTCACATACATTGGCCCAAAGTAATCAAGACCAACAGATTCGAACACCCTCCCAGGGACAAGCCGTTCCTCAGGCAAAGGTGCAAATGGTGGTGTTGCAAATGGCTTTCCATGATGGCATTTACACAAAAGACATTCCTTAATCACCCGTCTAACCGTTGCTCGACCTTTAGGCACCCAGTAATTCCGTCTCAATTCAGCCAATGTCTGACTAACACCCGAATGTTTAAGTGAGGTATGCTGTTCCATTACAATTAACCTTGTTAAGTGTGAACCATAAGCTAGCAATAGAGGAAATTTACTTTCGAATGGTAGGTGAGAATACTCCAGTCTACCCTTACATCGGATTAAACCATTATCAAGGAAGAGACCCAAAGCATCGACGAGCTGATGTCGCTTGCCTTGTTCTATTGCCTTGATTTCATTTCCAAAGTGCTGAGCTTGATGATACCGAAATTAAATTAATAAATAATTTATTAATGAGCCGTCAGATGAGAAAACAGACCTTATCGCAAAAACTGTACAGTGCAGAAAAGTGCACTTGAAAGTTGGCGAGTTTACCCACTGGTGCGTATGGACAGCCAAGCCACAAACCGTCGTATTTCAGTCAAATATCGGTCTTTTGGGACAATCCAAGTATGTAAATCGAAGAGAAAACTCCAAGGAATCCAATGCAGCAAGCGCGGTCGCGGCACGATTCTGCGTTCCCGAGATGCGAAGCCTGCAAGATACGTCACGGCACTTTGCATTTCTACACGCGAGTCAAACGCTCCAGACCAGGGATTTCCCCCTTTTCAAGCGATCTACGATCTCGGCAACAGGCTCAGACGGCTTGGAAGCTCTCACTGCATCTTCACGAAAAAAATTGGGCGTCCTGGGATAATGGAGATGGAAATGGCGAGCGATTTTCGTGTGACGGCGCAAGTCTAGCGCTGAAGCGATGTCTGCAGCTTGTTGCGCTGGAGCTGTGCTTTATTTGCTATCGGATTTGGGCCCAACGGGTTGCTTGTCGCCAGAGCTTTCCAGAAAGCCCAAGTTTGTGGAAATCGGTCAAAGGAAACAGAAAATATTATCCAAAGTAGGTGAAACAATTGTTGTATTGCACCCAAAATTGAGGTGCAATTTGTAATGGTCTCCTACTGTCGTGGCTATAACTTTACTTTCCCTGGTCCAAATCAACTCTAGTTTTCTGCATATGATTCCTGGTGCTCCTGGCAATCAGATAGCACCACAAACAAAAATATGACTTTTTTGTGATAAGGTCTGTTTTCTCATCTGACGGCTCGAATGATAGCTACTCTTGACATTGCGATTTCTTCAGCTGTGAGATTCGTTTTACTTTCCGACTTTTCGTGTTTGAGTTTCCGTATGAATCGTTGTACCCATGCATTCACTCTCACAAGCTTAGAAAACGAGGAGAACTTCTCACAGGTGACTACCTCATTGTGTTCATTGCTAACAAAGGCCGATTCGGGAGAGGGACCTTCGTCCGCATTTTCCTCACAAATTGGCATTTCACTTCCCGAAGCTTGCATTGCTGGAAACATACTTTCTGGATAGGAACCAGACTTTAACCGCGTTGGACCCTCCCACCACAAGGTGTTCTGCTGTAAACTCGTTGCATTAGCTCCTCGAGAAACAATATCAGCTGGATTTTCTTTCCCAGAAACATGACCGTACATGACATTATTCACCTCGTGAATGGTTCTAATTCTTCTTGCAATAAATTGCGGCCGCTGTTGATTTCCCGTTACCCATGCTAGTGCACATTTTGAGTCGGTCCATAGGTGCGTCTTGCTGAGCTCGAATGGTACTTGCTCTCTAAGAAATTTGACCATCTTTGTACCAAGTACTACAGCATAGAGTTCTAACCTAGGAGTGGATGTGGGCTTGGTTGGCGCAATGCGACTCTTGCTAAATATCAGGTCGACTGAAACATTATCGCCACAAGTAGTGAGTAGGTACGCAGCAGCACCATACGCATGTGCGGATGCGTCAGTAAAAACGTGTAGTTCATACTTGGGAGTTGAACCGTCATCACTTCGAGTACCCACAAACCTTGGCAATTTTATTCCACTAAGTGACAACAGTGAATCACACAATTTCTGGCATTCTTTGCGTACATCATCTGGTAAGATATCATCCCACCCAAATTTTCTCTTCCAAAGCTCCTGCATGATGATTTTCGCCTCAACCGTGACAGGATTGACTACACCCATTTGGTCGAATACTGACGAAATACATTGCAGTAGCTGACGTTTTGTTTCGATCTCATGAAATGCCCTTGGCGGTGGTACCCAAATTACGTCATCCTCGGTATCCCAGCCCATGCCTAGAACTTTCGTGCGGTTACCTTTGACTTGATCATTCTCCGGCAGTGAAGAGATGAACTCGTGGTCGTTGGACGCCCATTGTCGTAGATTCATCGAAGCTTCGTTGAAAATCTGCTTCTGCTGCTTGTAGTACTGCTGCGCTGATTCCGTATCTTCTGCACTACCAAGTACATTATCGACGTAGATGTTTCGGGTGACCTCATCAGCCGTGGCTGGCTGTGTTTCTGACAAATGGTGTTGGATCGTTGCGGAGAGAAGAAAAGGACTTGCTACTACTCCGAAAGGTACATGACAAAAACGAAACGTTACCAGGTTCTCGCCGGTTGCTGGTTTGGTCGGATCCGCGACCCACAAAAATCGCGTACACTCCCGATCTGGTTGGTTTAGGCCGATCTGTAAGAAAGCCTTCTCTACGTCGCTAGAGATGGCTACCGGTGACATCCTGAACCGCAACAGTATGCCACACAAGTCGGGCAACATGACGGGACCGCGATACAGTGATTCATTCAAACTGTGGCTTTGCTTGTTAGCCTTTGCGGACGCGTCATAAACGATTCTCATTTTGGTCGACTCGCTAGTGGATTTTATCACGCAGTGATGCGGGATATAATGCACAGTGCCCTCAGGCTCCTTTGATGTGTCGACCATTTCGATCACTCCGCTTGCCAATTGCTCTTGAATCGTGTGGTGGTAGGTTGTAAGTACGTCGGTGGGAAGACGTTTTACGAGTGCACGCAATCTGCCACTGGCGAGTTGTAAGTTTTCCGGCATGTTGTGATCTTCATGTTTCCAAGGCCAGGAGACAAAATACCGCCCATTTACAAAGCGCACACTGTTCTTGAATGATTCTAGCGCAGTGTCGTCTTCCGTTTCCATTTCTTTCTCACTGATGCCAACATTTTCAAGATTCCAAAAACGTTCCAAGTCGAATTCTTTCGGTGCACATGCTTCTGCCGCAACTAACGAGAGCGCCTCGTGGCACATTAGTGTGTGATCACCATTTCCGTTCGATTTCACCTTGCCTGCCACCAAAAACCCAAGAGTGGAATCGATCAAAATGAGACCATCTGGGTATTCCAATCTTTCGCTGCCAACAAATTGAAAGTATTGGTCTGCTCCAATTATTATTAATTATTATTAAAAGCATGTCCGCGTAGGTGGCGGGGGTGCCACTTTCGCTTATGCCATTCAGGATTGATGTCTGAAGAGTAATACGATACAATGAAATGACAGAAGTGACGTCAACAAAAGCCGTTAGCAACAACACAAATATGACTAATGGAAAACTTCATCCAAAGTATAAAATAAAATAGAATATGCATACAACATGTCTGGTCAGTCCTGTTAGGTGGGGCGGGCTCCACGCCATGCCTGTCGGTCCGCTGCCATTGTGCGGACTGCGTCAACATCTAGCGGCTGGTGGAGGGTAAGTCCATGCCATGATAACAGTTCCGTCTGCAAGACCGTTACCAAAGTCGTCCGAGGTCGACCCCTGAAGCGTTCAGTGCCCTCGTCGTTGGCCAGGCGAAGATACATATCCACTGCCAACTGTGGAGGAGCAGTTGGGGCCAAACGAAAGATATGGCCAGCGAGACTGTAGCGCTGCCTTGTGATCATCTCGCTGATGGGGACAGCTCCGCAGCGCTTATACAGAGTGTCATTGCTAATTCGTTTAGGGTACCGCATGTCGATGATGCTCCTTAGCTGGGTCCTGTGGAATGAATCCATTCGCGCGAGCTCCGACATCGGTAGGCCCCAAGTGCCGCAGTTGTAGGTAAGGACTGGGATGATGTAGGCGTTGTAGAGCCTCAGCCGAAGACCTTCACTGATCTGGCGCCTCCGGGTCCAGATCTTGAGGAGTGAGTTGAAGGCGGCGGCGGCCAGTTGACGCCTCCGAGCAGCATCTTCGGCGTCACCCAGGAGGGAGCCTAGTTTGCGGACAGTACGCCACGTTTCTTGGTTCCTATCGGGAAATCGGGCGACGGTGGTATGCTCTGTCTTGGAGGGATTAACGTTCAGGTTCCATCTCGCAAGAACTGCTGGAGCTTGTTGTTCAACTTCACTGAGAAACGTCTCATCCCGGCTCACAAAATCAACATCGTCCGCGTATGCGATATCCAGCGGCAGGTCATTGTCCACAGCAGGGCGAGATGGCAGCTCCTGTCGTAGGTCCCGGAGAGCAGCCTCCAGGTACTGTATAGCAGGAAATTTTCGGACGGAATTATTTTCGGACAAAGCCGAATTTTGACCTTTCGTACGGATTTTATTTTCGTACAGTGCTGCATGCTAAAAAATATTGATGCACGTGTTTGCATGCAGTACGCGGGGCATGCAAGGCGCACTGCAAAAAGTCTGCACGCGCGTATGCGTGTTATGGCTTCAGCGCTAGCTGGCCAGCTAGCTGTACTATGAACGTTTCTGTGCTGTGAACTGCACTGCGCCACTACGCGTAGATCGACGCACTACTCATTAGTCCTGAAACATGTGAACGGAAGCCAGTCATTGTACTTGTAGCAAGAGTCCACAACCCCCCGCGCGGCGTGGATCTACCAGCCCAGGTGTGGACTCTTGTCTTGGCCTCTAGTCTTGCTTGCAGCGCGCGTGTAGTCCTTTCATGATGAAACTTGACCTGCACTGCAGTACTGCAGTGCAGGTCAAGTTTCGCATCAGTCCTGAACGAGAGCCAGTCCTTGTACTTGTAGTTGTAGTCCTTTCAAGTTTCATGATGAAATTTGGAGTGCAAAGGCCTTTGCTGGAAGAGAAATGAATGTCGAAGATGTCTCTGTGGAATTGGCTCACAACTTCCTCGGGAAATCGGCCCAAGCCTGCTCCGAAGACACCGTTACTGCCGGAATCAACGGACGATGTTGAATGCTCTGCGACCGCCCAAATCGATGCGGTGGTGATTGAAAATGCTGATAGCAAGCCAATCGGTAAACGTCGCGGCTCTTACTTCGACTACGATGATGAACTTCGGACGAAGATCTCAAAGCATGCCTGTCTCCATGGGCAGCGCAGTGCTAGTCGCTATTTCTCGAAAGAATTGGGACGAACTGTGGCACCGAGTACTGTAGCGTCGATCACGAAAAAGTACAAGCAACACCTTGTGTCCGCTCCAAGTGGTGAGAACTTTACAAAGAGCGATCGCGGAAGACCACTGATGCTCCCAAACCAGGCCGACTCAAGAGTGCAATCATATGTCCGGGCCATTCGCAAGACAGGTGGTGTGGTGAACACGTCCATTGTGCTGGCCACTGCAATTGGTGTGGCGCAACAAACGGCGCCGCAAGTGCTGGAAAGCAACGGTGGCTGGCTTGGATTCTCGAGCAGAGCTTGGGGCAAGTCGCTACTCAAGCGCATGAACTTCACCAAGCGGAAGGGAACCAAATCAGCTCTGAAAGTTCCGGACAATATTGGAGAACTCCGTGATCGCTTCACTGGCATGATCCAGAACACCATGGAGCAACACAACATCCCTCCAGAATTGGTCGTCAACTTTGACGAAACAGCAATTGCTATCGTTCCAGCTTCATCCTGGTCCATGGCTTCGTGTGGTTCGAAGCAAGTTCCCCTGACAGGTCTTGATGACAAGAGACAAATTACAGCTGTCCTTGGTTGCTCCATGGCCGGAGAGTTTCTTCCAGCTCAGCTGTTGTATGAAGGCTCAACCAATCGCTGCCACCCCAGTGTCAAATCTCCGGATGGATACGACATCTGGCACTCACCAAACCACTGGTGCAACGAGTCAATGATGCTTCGCTACGTTGAAAAAGTGCTGGTGCCGTTTTTCAACAAACAGAGAACCAAGCTACAGCTGGATGCAGCAACTCCCGGCCTCGTCATTATGGACGTATTCCGTGCCCATCGCACTCCTGCCGTCATGGATATCCTCGACACCAACAACTGCAAGTGTGTATTTGTACCTGCGAATTGCACGTCTGAAATGCAGGTGATTGATCTTGTGGTGAACAAGATTGTCAAGGATGCTATGAAGAACAAGTTCATCGAGTGGTACTCCCGGCAAGTTGTGGATGATATCAATGACACAGAAGATAGAACTGGTGAAACATGTGAGGTCGTCAGCAAATTCAAGCCAGACCTGAAACTTTCCACATTGAAACCCCTGCACGCAGAGTGGCTGATTGATGTGCTTGTGAGTGTGTCTGCAAAGCATGACGTGTTCCTGAAGGGATGGGAGATGGCCATGCGCAAGCACCAGCCATCAGCAGCCAGCACCCAACCTGGAGGAAATGAAGTCAATGCATGCCAGCCTGTTGAAGCTACTGACCACGAGGCTGATCCCATTGCCCAGGAAGATGAGTCTTGCAGCCAGATTCAGGACGAGGGCCGTATCACCATCAACAAAGCATCATCATATCTTGCTACGGAGCTACTACCACCATCTCCTCCACCATCACCAATGACAGACGACACAGGTGGTGCTGCAAGCAAATCTGCCTCCAAGCTACCTATTCCTACTGAGAGTTTCAAGCACGCCATCTGGCAAGTGACCAAGGTCCATGAGTGGTACCTACCCCTTCCGCTGTCACAGTCAACACTCTAGGGCAGAACATCGAGCCTGGCTTGTACCATCATCTCTGCAGAGATTGCACGTGCTGTACTCCAGGATCCGTCTTTAGTCCCAACGTCCGCAGATTCACCGCCTTCCTCAGCTGTTGAGCCTTTCCTGGCAGCAATTCGGTCTGGCAACCAACGGTATGATGCTGGGAACTGCGTCGGGCTTCTCGGCATTGACACACTGCTTGAATTGTTTCCGGATCTCGGTCTTGCTCTGTCACCGAAGCGTGATTTCGGCTTCTTCAATCGGCAGCATGTCGAGCGAAATCTACCCAAAATCATTGAATTCATGATGCTTTCCAAGTCTGCTTCTTTTGCTGCGTTGTTCATTCAAACTCCCTATACTGTTGCTATTTGCTTTGTCTACGGCAGACTAGTGATTTTCGACAGCCACAGGCATGGCAAGAATGGTGCACTCATTGCTATTGCTGGCAACCACTTGTCCCCGGGCCTTGCTGCCGTTTACATAGGCAGCTACATTGAACGCATTTTTAGCCTCCGAAGTCGAGTCGCCGGCTGTCAGCTTAGCTTCATTGAACTTGCCTGAATTTCCAGCGTGGAATACCTTGAACAATCTGTTGATTTCTCTTCAGATGCGCATTCAGTACATGATACAATATTATAACGTATATCACACATCTTTCAACCTTGTACATAGTACCAGTATCACACAGAATAGTATGAGCCATGCGCTGGGTCTTCAAGTAGCATTTTGATATACATCATGTATAGTGTATATATTTTCACATAAACAAATTTTAGTACGGAATTAATTTTAGTACAAAAGAGGCCGTGTACGAAATCGTACGAAAATAAATTCCGTCCGAAAATTTCCTGCTATACAGTAAATGGTGAAAAGCACTGGAGAGAGACTGTCCCCTTGAGGGACTCCGATATTTGTCTTGAAGGAGCTTTTCGATGCACCTTTCACACGAGGTTCAAGCCAGGTTTCAGTCAACAGTATACGGATCATTCGGAGCTCACTTTCTTGGAGGAAGGATTCAAGGATCCTCATCAGGACATCGCGGCGGACAGTGTCAAATGCTTTACTCATGTCAATTCCCAATATGTGGATGGACGTATTGAATCGCTGCGTCATACTACATAGCCATCGATGGCACCACACCACATCACTTGTGCTGCGGCCACGACGAAAAGCACTTTGGGATGTAGCCAGGTACTGATCAACCGCTGGCTGTATCCTCTTCAGCACAATCAGGGACAGCGTCTTTCTCAACGCCGAGAGCAGTACGATAGGGCGCGTACTAGTAAGCGGCCCTAGTGGTTTACCGGGCTTCTGCAGCAGTATTAGGGTTCCTCTGCCAACTTCGAGTGGGTCATGTGTCTCAATAGCTCGGTTCAAGATGTCGGAAGTCATCTCAGCGACAATGGGAGGACTGTACTTGAGTAACTCTCCGGAGAGATGGTCAGGGCCTGCCGCTCTCCCGTTATTCAGGCTTTGGAAGGCCCTCCTAACTTCGGACGATGTGATTTGATTGGGGAGAGGGCTGGGATCACCTAGGAATTGTGGAATGTCAGGGAGGGATTTATCATGGAATTGGCTTTCATAATGCTTGATGATGAACGCCTGCTGGTCTGCAGGGTTGATAACGACCCGCTGCTTCTCATCATGAATAATAGGCTGGCTGTACGGTTTTCGCTTCAGTAGCTGGACAGCACGGAACATCTTTGCCCCACTATCATGCAGTCGCTCCACTTCCTCTGCTTGACGATCCAAGGCTCTCTTGGCATTGTCAGATGCGATATCACGAATTTCATGCATTGTGCGATTTCTTTGATTTTTTAGTGACTGTCTTTTCTGGTCATCCCTGCACTCTCCAATCGCCAGGCGAAGATCTTTCTGCTTGCGTGACAGCAACTCAATTTCAGGGGAGAAGTCATGGCGGTGATGTTGTCTCTGCTGAGTGCCGGCCGAATCCAGTGCTGATTTGCTGAGGACTTCAGATAGGGATTCCCAGACTGCTTGGGTGCTGTTGGCTTCTGATGACACGCTGCACTGGACCTGGGTCTCCACAGTTCTCTTGTAGGATTCCCGAATTGCGACATCTGAAGCAAGCTTTCCAGTGTCAGGGCGGATGTTGCCGGCAGTGGTCTTGCGTTGGTGCATACCCAGAACACCATAGAATCTCGACATGTCCAGTCTCGCCACAACTAGGCGATGGTCGGAGAATACATATGTTCCCGCATACGACCTTGCGTCTGTTAGAAGGGGACTCTGGTTCTGACGGCAGCAGATGTAATCTATCATATTGTAAACAGGAACACCGGAATTGTCACGGCAAGGGCCTTGCCACGTTGTTTTATGTCTAGCGCTGTGCTGAAATGCTGTGTTGCCAGCGAACAGGTTGTGAGCTTCAAGGAAACTAGCAAAAACTCCACCACTCAAGTTTCGTTGACCGCGGCCATGGCGTCCAAGAAAGGACTCGCCACTTTTGCGTATCCCTAGCTTCGAGTTGAAGTCACCAGCTACGAACAACAATCCACTGGAAGCGTAGTCAGTCACGGCATTCGCCAAACTGTCAAAGAACTCACTTTGTTCATCCGGGCTTGCCCGCAGCCGTTCTGTTGTTGGACCGTAGGCGTTGATGACCGTCAACGATGATTTTTTGCTATTGGGAAATTTGAATTGAATACCGGCCGCTCTGTCAGAAATACGCCAATACCGGCTCATACAGTCCTTGAGGGCGCCTCCAACGGCAAAGCCCATACCGTAATGCCTGCACTCTGACGGCAGGCAGATGATTCTCGTTCCGTTGCCCAGCGTTTCATCAAAAGAATTTACTATTTTCGTTTCTTGAAGACAACAAACATCGACTCGGTACCTCGCGATATCCCGAGCAAGCTGCTCCCGCTTCACCTGACTAGAAATACCTCTAACGTTGAAACTTCCTATTGATATATTCTTTAGACCAGTCCTGAATGAAGAAGACATTCTCCTTTCGCGAGAGAGCGGAGTCACCCAACTCAACCTACCTTCACCCAGGTAAAAAAAAAAAAAAAAAACTCTGCTCCAATTAAGATATCAATAGGCATTGCTTCAGGTGTATTGCATAGAGGCTCTGCTAAGATAAGCTTCTGTAAGCTAGAGTGCTTTGCTGTGCTCAAAGGTACTTTCTGTAGTGGACACGAAATGTTGTTGATATCATTTGCCTGTATGGAAGCTAATTCACCATTCTTCTGCTTGATGTGCAAATTGACTACAGGGTATTCCTTTACCGATCTGTGTGTTGCACCAAAGGTTGCAAGTGAAATTCTGTCACTTCCCTCTTGTTTGAGTCCCAATGCTTTGTTGACATTCTCACTGACGTATGTTCTCGATGAACCCGTGTCAAACAAGATCCTTACAGTCTGTGACCTGTTGCCTTCCTCATTTGTTGCAGTAGTCAAAGCAGTTTGCATTAGAACCCTGTGCCCTTGTGTGTGAGAAACCATTGCCTCATCTTGTGTTGGTTCAAATGTCTCTGCCATTGCATTCAAAGTGTGTGCCTGTTTTTGTCCATCACCATGATGCTTCCCATCATTTGTTCGCTCTTCATTTGACTTGAACTTCTGTGGACACAGACTTCTGTGGTGGGATTTGCGATTGCAATGGTAGCATGTTCTAGCATTCATGCAAGCTCTTGCTCCATGTCCCGCTTTCAGACAGATGTAGCATTTCATACCCAACCGTGTTTTCCGTTCATCTAGTGATTTGTACATTTGACATTCATCAGAGTAATGCTTTCCATCACAATACATACATTTGATAGTACGAGCTACACCAGCACCCGCAAGTAGAGACTGCCCTGTTGATAGTATCTTCTTTGAGTGATTGGCGTGTTGCCATGATTGTTGACCTTTGCATGCGGCTGGTCCTTCTGCATTCTCTTTTGCCTTTAGTAAGTGCGATAGTGCCAAACGCAACTCACTAATTGTCCATTCATCGTTCTGTTTGGTGAGCTCAAGTTGTAATTTCACATCACTGGGGAGCTTGCTTAAGATTATTGTAATGAACACCTTTTGCGATACATCCTCATCTTGTGCTTCAAGGCTCCTGAGGTGCACTTCAATTTTGTCAACACAAGACCTCAAACTTTCGATTTTTGAGGTGCAGGCCGACATCTCCATTAAAGCAGTGTAGTGGGCATCCACTGTAGCTTGCTTACTCCCGTACCTCTTCTCAAGCAGATCCCGGGCAACTTCATAATTTGCATTACAGATTCTTAAACCTTTCAGCACGTCTTGTGCTTTCCCTCCCACACATTCACGGAGGTAGCTCAATTTTTCAACTGGTGACAAGGAGGAGTTGTCATGAATAGTAGCATCGAAAATGTTCCAAAACTCTTGGAACTCCATTATGTCCCCATCAAAATGCTTTAGCTCCAATTTGGGTAATCTGGCAGTTGTCTGGGGCTTCGATTCGGTTATAGTATCCCGCTCTACTATGGGTCTAGTATCCCGCTCTACCAATCTCTTTAGAAGATTTTGGGTTGACTCTTGGGTGTTAGCTTGCATCCCAATCAATTTCGTAATCTCAAGCAAGGTAGATTCTGTCTGCATTGTAGGCTGGACGCCTGATGCCACTTCCATTTTTCTCAATTTTCTCTGGAGTTTGAAACCCTTCTCTAGTGTCTCTGTCCATAACCCAGCCTCATCCTCCAAACCATTCTTTATCTCTTTGTTGTCTTTACCCTTTGGCTCATATTCCTCCACATTCTGAACAAAATCATCCAAGTTAGCTTCCGTTCTTTCCAACAATTCCTTTAAAGGGGAAGTATACCCTAAAATCAAATTTTCACCAGTTGTAGTCTTCGGGGTGCTGAGTCGAATGGTCTTGGTCCGAGGAAGCTGCGACGCTCCCTTCCTACTTGAATCCCAATCGAACTCGCGCACTTCCACCGAAACTGGGTGACTGCGCCCTACTAGATGGGGATTTGTATGCAAAATGTCACTAAAAGCGCCATTTCGTTCTTATAAAAGCACGGATGACCGCGATTGGCCCATATGTTGTAGTCTTTTGGACGCTGAGTCGACTGGTTTTGGTCCGAAAAGGCTGCGATGCAGCGTTCCTCCTTTATTCCCAATCGAACATGGTTGAACAAGCGGTCACGTGCTCCTGGGTGCCCAAATCACCTGGTCACCGCGCCAGCAGGCGACAACTTTCACACCAAGGTTCAACTCGAGTTCAACTAGAGTGACAGGACTGCACCCAAAAAAGGTCAAACAGGCTAGTAAGTTGTACCCTGCAGGCACGGTGACCAGGTGACTGGTGTACGCAGGAGCACGTGACCGCTTGTTCAACCATGTTCGATTGGGAATAAAGGAGGAACGCTGCATCGCAGCCTTTTCGGACCAAAACCAGTCGACTCAGCGTCCAAAAGACTACAACATATGGGCCAATCGCGGTCATCCGGGCTTTTATAAGAACGAAATGGCGCTTTTAGTGACATTTTGCATACAAATCTCCATCTAGTAGGGCGCAGTCACCCAGTTTCGGTGGAAGTGCGCGAGTTCGATTGGGATTCAAGTAGGAAGGGAGCGTCTCAGCTTCCTCGGACCAAGACCATTCGACTCAGCACCCCGAAGACTACAACTGGTGAAATTTTGATTTTAGGGTATACTTCCCCTATAAACCACAAAGAAACGGACTTATCTGGTTGACGGGTTTGGTTCCTGCTAGCAGATCTTCGCCGACTGTCGTCTCCTCCTGCAGCTCTTCGTACAGGAGCTTGAGAGCACGCTTGCTCGTCTGGATAGCCGTCGGCAATCTTGTGTCGCCCATTTTCACAACTCAAGCCCCAAAGGGCGAGTCAACCAGG